GAAAGGTGATGAGTTAAATAAGATTAGACTATAGAGTAATATAAGAATAATATATTAGTGAAGGGAATTGAGTATAAATGATGATACCAAACCATAAGATAAGTATTTACTTATAGGATAATATGATATTATATGAATATATAGTATAACTTTATGAGGAAGATTTGGAGGAAGAATTGGGTGTTATATGATTTAGGTATGGAAATGATCTATGTGTAAGTAAATTACGTGATTATGTGACTATGTGTGAAATGGAGTAAACTAGGTAATTATAAGGTATGTGAATATATGGTTATGAAACAAAGTATGTAATAATACAATGTTATTTGAGTTACTTAACAATAAGTCATAAGATTACAGGCATATGTAACGTAAGTTATAAGGTAAGAAAATATGGGCTTACATGTATTTGCGGATATATATATATATATATGATATATGTTTATGTAAAACCATGCAAAGTGATATGAGAATGGAACTACATGATTATGTGATCATATGATAATGAAATAAAGAGCCATATGATATATGCCATGAGATATATGAAAGAGAAAGTATATGTGATAAGTGAAAGTGAATCATATGATTATATGAAGATGTTCTACGTGAAAGTGATCTACGTGTATGTGTGATTTATATGGAAATGAACTACTTGACTACGTGTGATCTTATAAAAATGTAATAATAAGACTATGTGTATATGCGAATGTGTGATAACATAAATATTAATGCCCATGTTATGTGTCATGAGAGCTAGAGGTATAGTTGGCATGCCAAGAGTCGAGGGTCTACGCGGTCATTCGGGACATATATGTATTCTTTGGAACATGTGTGATGTCTTTTGAGACACATACTTGATCATTTGCATATGTATATGATTCTTAAGGAATTTTCTACGTGGTCCTTAGGGACATTTTATATGGCACTTCGGTGCAATTCTACGCGGCACTTCGGTGCAATTCTACGTGGCACTTCGGTGCATTTATACGAGCTGTGGTGACAACATTAGTGCACAACCTCTAGAGACTCACATATCAATAGTTCTCACATATGTATATGGGCTAATCAAGAGATAATAACAGATATATGTTGTGATATGATAAATTTTATAGCAAGGACATGATGAGGTATAGGTATAGTATACGATTAAGAAGGTTAAGTATATGTGCTATGTGATTAAATGATAAGTGACTAATGATGATTTATATGTATGCATGTATTTCTTAATAGATAATCTGATATGATTTATATGATAATGTTTGTATTGCTTGGTTAATTGAATAATATGTTGAGTAAAAGAATAGATATAAGAGGATATAATTATAAGATATAAATGATTGATAGTAGAATAAGGTTAGAGATTTAAAATAATGTGTGATATGTATATGTTATATATAATGTTATATTTGTTTTGATGTGGCATTATAAGATGATATGTTCATGCATGTGTAAATAGTTGGATTTAATGCCTCACTAAGTCAAAAACTTAGCGTGTGATTGTTTCACACGTAGGTTACAGAAACGAGAAGAGAAGTTAAGATTAGCACATTCCTTACGAATATCAGATCAAAAACCTATGGAATCTATGTATTTTGTGTTACAAAATTTAGTTGGCATGTAGCTACAAGATTTTGATTGAATATGCTCTGATTGGTTTGTAAAACGATTTAATTATAATAATTTCTATAAAGTACCCACTTTTTTCAAATGATGAATTTAAGATTTTGGTGGATTTGTAAAGAAAAGAGTTTTGAAATGTCAATGTGACACCTCGAACTCGGATACGGGTTGGGGGTGTTACAAATTCGTTTTCCGAAAAATGTTTTCCAGTGTTTGGTTGGAGGAAAACTGGTTGGTCAACGTAAAACATTTTCCTGATCAACAGAATTTCCTTTGTGTTTTCTGGAAAATGACTTACGATCAGATTTTTCGTAAGTAATTTTCCGAACTTTTCACTTCAAAGAATAAATACTGAAAATAATTTTATTTTATGAATTTAATATTAATAAAATGATTTAATATCATTTTTAATCAAAATATTAATTATTAAAATATTTAAAATATATTTATTAATATTTATAATAATATAATATTATATTTTTAATATTATACTAAAATAATCAATTATATTATAATAATATAATATAAGATATTATATTTTTATTTTAATAATATATAATAAATTATTAATAAAATTTATATTATTTATTAATTTCATAGAAATATTATTATTAAATTATTAATAATGAATAATATTAATTATATATTTAATATTAATCTAATAATCTAATAATATTTTAATAAAGATATTTAAAATATACTAATTACTATTTTTAAAATATAATACAATATTAACACTAGTGGAAAAAAGATTTAAACAACATCTTCCAAACATCGTAAAACGTTTTCTATATGTTTTTCAGAAAAATGTAATTCATTTTACGGAAAACATTTTCTGGAAAACGTTTTCCAGAAATGTAATTCATTTTTCAGAATTCAAAATCCAGTAATTCATTTTTCAGAATTCAATTTTCAAAAAAATCAATTACAGTCAAACAAACAAATTGTTAATAGATTAGTGTCACAGATATGGTTTAGTGGTCCAGCACACGATTTCATTGAGAACCTTTGTGTGGCCTCCTAGGCCTACACATAGAGGGAAAAACTACAAATGGAGGGACTTTCTCAGAATCTACAGAAAAATCCCAATTTATTTGTTAGCGGCCTATTTAATTCAATCAATTTTAATTCTCCTTTGCCTTTTGCGTGGCACTGTCACTTGCTGCTTACTTAGGGGTTGTTTGTTTGGCTCTTAATTAAACTGTTCAGATCTAAACGCTGAATCGGGCATTCGCATAAAATTATGGATCTGAATAATTTAGAGCTACTGACCGATTCAGAGTCTAAAATCACGCTTAATCATTCAGACGAACGCTAATACCCTTTTTCTCCCTCTCTCTCTCTTTATCGTTTACTTTCACTCATGAGCAACAACTAATCCTCCCACTCCTTCTCGAGGTAATCTGAACCATGCTTTCTTTTTGGACTTTGTTTTTAATCGTCTCAGTTATTGGTTTCTCTCTCTTCTTTCTTTCTGAAATTTGCTGGAGCTGAATTTTCCATTGTTTGATATGTTTCTTTGGCTACCCTGTTTGACCCTTTTCCCCTTTTTTTTAGGGATTTGGTTTAGTTCATGTTTTGACAATCCCTTTGCTTGCCGTTGGTTCTCAACAATCTGTTTCTAAGGTAATGTTCTCTTTAGTCTCTTGAATTCTTCTTGAAAGGAAAAAATGAACTTTAACTAAAGACTGATCATTATCTCTTAGTTGAGACATTGCCGTTGGTACATGTCCAACAAACCTTGTGATTAGTCTCTGTTCCTGACATTGATATTTGCGTGATATAAGTATGTAATTGAATATTTCTTATACCTTAATAGACCATATAAAGAGCAGAACGTTGAAGTTTACATATCTTCGACATGAATAAGGGAATTCACCTTCAGCTTCGATCATCCCTCTACATTTTGCACTCGAAATACCCTCCAAACAAAAGCCTTTCCTCTGTTATAAACTTCAAAAGTTTCCTATCAATTCTTAATTTCCTGCTGCTATGCTTCCCTACATTTGGACCAATGGTGAATTAGTACAGCTCCCTCTATTCTCACCTTTTGGATAACTTACCTTCACTATTTTGCATCTCTCTCATTCTCAGCTGATTGGGTGATATTTAAACTCATTTTGTACCTCAGCAAATGATATTTTTGTATAACTTCTCGTTTTCAAATACTTCATTAACTTTTGATTAGCATCATTCTTTTCCCCTTCGAATGTTATTCTATTCATGCAACAAGTTGCTCTGATAAATAACATCTTGAACCATGCTTGTTGTAGAGAGAAAAATCCTAAAAGATATTGGAGAATGCCCCTATCCTAGTCACTAGAAGTCTAGAACCAACATTATCCTCAACACCTTTGTTTTGGTAGAAGTTCAAACATGCTAGATATGAAAAAATGGGTTTGATGAATTTGGGATCTCTCTATTTGTATCAATGCTTAGTTTTGATGAATTGTCGGGTTTTTTTTATCATGCATATTGGAATAAATTCCGGCAGTAGCAAGAAAATCCATTTTTGAAAAAAAACTTCGGTAACTTAAATAACCCGCCCAAGTTATATCGCTTCGGTTTGATTGCTTTAGACAAATGATTTTGATCTGGTCAGTTATCTATTAGTAATATCAGTTAAGTCAATTTACATGAAAAAAAATTGACTGAACTAACTGATTAAACCGATTGCTCCTCCCTGCTAATTAGTTTATCAAAGTTCAATCCAGTACTATGTTGAATGTTATCTTTTATATTTCAATTTTGGGTTTATTAATTTTGTTGTCAATCTGTGTCCTTTTGTGAAGTAGCAAATATGCAGTTAAACATTCTAGTTTATGAATAAATCATTGACATAGATCATGTTGTTTGAGAACCATGTCGATAAGACAGTGTTAATGTCCTCCGGCTTCTATTCAATATATAAATCTGAACTTGGGTCATTTAGAATACATTTGTAACAGAAAGCTAGGGAACTATGTTTTGCTTTCATTAAGCACAGTCACTATGTCAATCTGCTTGCAAAATTTGTTACGAAATTTAATGCTTGCAAAAGTTGTGAATATTGTTATGTAAGTGAAAGAGTTGAGCTGTTTTGCTTGAGAGTTAAAGAATCAATATTGTTGCACTCTGCGTGACATGGCCATGTTTTATTTTTACGTCCTCAACGGACTCTTTTTTGAATAATCAAAGTGTTCTATCGTTACTTTGGTACTCTGATGTTGCATATACCTTGTTTTAATATTAATCACAAATTAATGTTTCATATATGTTAGTCTCTTGATTTATATATATATTTGTTTGTGGGTTCAAAGAGTGAAGAGAAAACACTAGTATTTAAGTGAATGCCTTTCACATAATTAATTAATTCTCAATATTTGTCAATCCGTTTAGACATGTCCGGTGTTGAAGAATCATCGAAACAAAAAAGGCCTAGAATCAGTTGGAAAAATGAAGCACTAAAGAAATTATTTCTCGAAGCATGCATACATGAGGTCAACACTCATGGACGAGAAGTAAACAGTTTGAAGTTTACATCTTGGAAAAATGTTGGAGAGAAACTGAAAAATGAATGTGGTATTTTTGTTGAACGACGCCAAATGAAAAATCGGTATGATTATATTAGAGGAAAATATAATGTGTGGTCAAAGTTATTTAACAAGACGGAGAATTTGTACAATCCGGTCACAAAGTCATTCAACTTAACTGAAGAAGAATTGCAAATCGAAATGAAGGTTGCATTCTTATAATGTATTTATTTATTTTACTTGCCTAGATTATACATATATACTGACACATGTATTTTTATGAACCAGTGCAACAAACATGCAGAACCGTTGAGGAATTCACCCTTGTTGTATCCTGAGTTATGTATGCAACTATTTGACGGGTCAACTTGCACTAGTATTGATGGTTGGGGGCCTACTTCTAAATCTTCTCATCCAGAAGAAGAACTAGATAATCCTGAATTGAATGAAGATGATGATAGCCAACAACTAAATAATTCCTCTCGTGCGTCACAAGAAACAATGGTTCCAACAAGAGTATTCCCTAGGCTCTCAACATAAAAGTAAAAAAAGAAAAGATCGAACAAACACTCACAACATTATGGCTGTTGCGGATGATATATCCAAAATTGCTAAAATAATGATTGAAAAAAATCAAAGGAGATGATATGAGTGCTTGCATTAAGGAGTTGGAGAAACTTGTGTGCGATACACAAGACCCGATGTATCATACTGCACTTTTGCTATTTGGTGAAAGTTCTGATTTAAGGAAACTTTGGTTGGTACTAAAAGTAGAGGCGTGTGAGAATTGGATTAAAAATGATGGGCGTAAGTTTGGACTTTTGGGATGATTCAATGAGATGTCTTTTATAATGTGTTTTTTGGATTAGAAATACTCCTTGGATTAGAAATAATTTTTGATGATTAGAAATACTTTTTGGATTAGAAATACTCTTTGGATTAGAAATACATTTTGGATTGGAAATACTTTTTGTATTAGAAATATTCTTTGGATTAGAAATACTTTTTGGATTAGAAATACTTTTTGGATCATAAATCAATATGGAACCTCGTGTTTCGTTTCTGCTGGGGATTATTCTGGGCTTCATATGTTGGTTGTGTTTTATTTGGGTTATTGTTTACTTCACTTGCTACTAGTGGGATTCTGATGAAGTATTTGGTGGAGGAACCATTGGAGATCAAGGAAATGTTGAACTTTGATTATATTAGTGGGTTACTGTTTGTTTGGCATTGCCGGAGTCAGAGTACAACAAAAATCTTGGGATGTTCGAGGTATTTGTTTGATTTATGGAATGCAGAGGTTATTATTTCCATGTTATTTTACTTATTCATTTATGGTTTACATTTTAGATCTAGAAACATAATTCATGGTTTTGTTTGTAGGTAAAGTTTGGTAAGTTTTATATGCTTACATTCTGTCCCTTTTAATCTATTCATTGTATAACATGTTAAATGAACATGAGATGTGAAGTTAGTAAATTGTCTTGTTGTGGCTTTCGGAGTGTCTTTTGACCTTAACCATCGAGCAAATTTATTTCCACAGGTTTCTTACCTCTTGAGCAGGGCAAAAAATTATAGCCAGTATGTTTGAAGGAAATGATGGTATTGATAACCTCATGATTCAGTGAATAGGTTAATGTTAGCCGGATATCATAAGGAAACGAACAAGACGAGATAAATGAAGTTGAATGGGATCCTCAAGGCAATGAGTATATGGCTAATCTACGTGATCACATTGCTAATCAGTTGTTTTTAAATGCTTCAAATTAATATTTTTTTGGGTTGATTTGTCTAGAACAAAAGAATGCTTGTTATGTATTTTGTTTCATCAAAAACATAAACCACTCTTTTATGTCATTTCATGTCAGTAGATTTGTTTATTATGAATGTTGATAATTTGTCTAAAAAATGTGTTTTTAAGTTACTTGATTTTATATTTTGTTATGATTGTTGATAATTTGTCTAAAAAATATTTTCTTAGCATTTATTCACAAGGTAGAAACAAATATATTTTATTTTGGCACAAAATCATACAGAAGGGTAATATGGTCATTTTTTGTCATTCAGACCGACCATTCAGATGTATTATCAAACAAATTTTCTATTCAGAACTATATCATACAAAGCCTCTTAATCATTCAGACTGTTAAATCATTCAGTGCTAAACCATTCAGTTTTAACAAACAACCCCTTAGTTTACCTCTGGGTATCCAACATCCATCGTCCTCTCTTCTTCCCATACGTTTCTTTTTTGAGTTAACTACAAGGATGGTTATTTATATTTGTCTTTTGTCCACTTTTGGGCACTGATTTAAAAAAAAAAAGATATGATCAATTTTTTATTTAATTAAGATGTGTAACTGTCGTTAACAACAATTAACTATTTTTTATATAATCACACATTTGGTCACTTCTATTTATATATTCTCTCAATTTAGTTATACTTTTAATAAATTAAAATAAATTTAATCCTCCAATTGAACGATGCCACATGCCATACCACGTAGAAGTGTTAAAAAATGCCCGACTCGATTGACCTGACCCGTCGATCCACCGACCCTGTTAAAAAATATCGGGTATTTATAATAAATATACCCGATTTTTCGGGTCAAGTACTTGGCTCGCTATTTTTTCAAGTTTCTAGGTCGAGCATGGTTCACAAAATATTGGTTAACCGGGTACCCTCTGACTTGGTACCATATTTATTATATATTTATTATTTTTATTTTATATTAAATTTTTTATTCATAATTCTCAAATTATTTTACTCTAACATTCTAAAATCCTAATTTCTTAAATTTTGACACCATAACGTTCTAGATTCTTAATTTCTTAAATTACTTCACATCAATGTTCTAAATTATTATTTTTTAAATATTTATTTTACATTTAAAAAAATTAAAATTTAATTATATTTCTTTATTTTAATTTTTAATAAATTTTATTTCAATTATGTAATTTGAGTTTTTAAACTTTATGGATGGATTATATATATTATAGGATTTTAAATTTTAAATTTTAGAATTTATATATATATATATATATTTAAAAATAATATAATTTAAAAAAAATAAAAAAATGAATTAGGTAACCGTGACCCAAATTATATATAATATTATTTATATAAATATTTTTATATTAACTTATTGAATATATTTTATTATTAACATATTAAATATATTTTATTGTTAACTTAATTTAAAAATATGTTTTTTATTTTCATTTAAACATATATAATTTATTTTAATTTATTAAAAATATAACTAAATTGAAATAATATATAAATAACAGAGACCAAATATGTGATTATATCAAAATATTTAACTGTCGTTAACGGCAGTTAACTCGGGGTGACTATATTTTAATTAAATAAAAAACATAAGTGATTATATCTTATGTTTTTTGAAATTAGTGACAAAAGTGGATAAAAATACAAACATAATTGACTATCTGTGGTTAACCCTTCTTTTTTTTCTTTTTCTTCTCGTTGATTTTCTAAACCACTTCATGCTTTGACTTTTTTTCTTCCTTTTTTTCAATTCTTGGCTTGATTTTTTTTATAGTGACAGTGAATGATTTTCGTTTCTTTTTGAAAGTAATCGTGGTAGACGAGGATGATTGGGATGCTGAACAAATGTGAGTTGTTCTTTTTCTTGTACCTGTTTCTGCTCAAGAGTGTTCTTGACATTCGTGGGGGGTTTTTTTTTTGCTTCGCGCTTTTTCTTCTTGCCTTTTTGTTTTATGGTTCCCATGGTATTTCGATTATATTATTCACTCTTTGAAGTTGTGTTTGTTGGATTTGGGGGACATAGGCTGGATCTTTACTGGCACGATTACTTGGTGAAGAAGAATATGCACGGGACAGCTGAACTATTTAGACAATAGGCCGGTATTTCTCACTGTTCAGTTGGTATGTGCTCTCTCTTTTTCATTCTCATTTTTCTTTAATTTCTCTCTCCCTCACTTTAACTTACAAATCTATTTCTTAATTGTTTTCAGTAGAGAATTTTCGATGTTGAAATGCTTGGCATGTACTTCTTATTTCATATGAAATATCTTGAAGGTTATTTGATTAATTTTCTGCAAGAATAAATATTAATCATCAATTGGTCTAATGCTTTTAACGAGGTGTTTTGTTTCATCTTTATGTAAGGCTTGTTCTAATTGTAGCATTAATGCGTGAAAATATCAGGAGTTTCTGTTTAAAATGTTTTTAAGATTATTTAATGTATATGGTGTAATTTGTTGATTGGAGAGAAGGGTCATTTTTCAGTGATTGATTCTCCCCAAGGGCTCCTTCAAGAATGATGGTCGATGTTTTATGACATATATTTCTCTAGGCAAACAAAGCTTCAAGGGCACTCTGAGGCAGAAACCTCTATTGAGGTAACTTTTTGTGGAATTTGAGATCATGTTGAGCGGTTGCTTTTTTGTTGCCAACCTCATAAACATACATTATTATTGTCCGTATCACAGGCTGAAAAAATGGAAGATCAATCACAGAATCTCGGTCCAATGTTTTTGCCGCAATTGATGATAAATTGGCAAATGGCTAGACAGGTTCCTATTCCCAGATACTCTGATTCCAGTAATCTATTACTTGAAATTAATCAAGTAAGGCTCCCCAACTCATTTGCAGCCAGTTAAAGGTAATATTTATGTGTTTTACTGAAATGAAGGCTTGTATAATTGACAAACAGTTTGTAGTTTCTTTGGCTTCTTTATTTCCCTCCTGCCAACACAAAACATACAATGTGTACTGAGATATTTATCGTGGAAATGCTCAGCTTTTTAATAAGTGTTTCACCCTTTTGATACATATTTTAAGATCTTTCTCATTTGTTCTTGTATCAGTCTTCTGCAACGACAGATGACTCTCACTCAGCATCAAGTTAAGAGCGTAGAATCTCAACTATTACTTTGTTAATAAAACCAACTAGTTGTCATTAATTTCTCTAAATGTTAGAAACTTTTTTCAATTTACAGGAACAAATTCAAGGCAGCAATTTGGGAATTACCTTTCCTATTAATTCAGTCACCCCCTATGGGGCACAAAAAGGCAAACTTCCTATAACTTCGCCTCATGATGCAGGTTGGTTGGCACTTTTGTCTGATTGGAGTTCATGTTGGAAAATCTGATTCGTTTTCACTTTTGTATAATCAAAGATGGGATGAATTATGGATATCTGATATATTTTGACAAGCAGGAGATGCACATAGTACAGGAATTGCTTTACTTTGTTATATGATATATATATCAAAGCTGTGGTCTATATCTTTTCAGGCTTGATCAAATCAATGGACCCAGCACCACTGAATGGATGGCCTTTTGATGTAAGTGGCACGTTAATTCATATTTGTTGGAGCCAATTTTTGACAGCGTAGATGTTTAAGTCCTGCCAAGTGAAAAAGAAGTGTGCTTAAAGTTCCATTAACAGTTCTGTAGTTGAGCTAGCTTACCTGGTTTGGGGTATAATTTAAATTTACTATTTCAGGCCCCAAACTATCAGCAACAAATTCATATATTGAATTGTCAGCCAGAGAGATTAGATGAGGGGCGACCACTTATGCACAAAAACCTGACACCTACTTTTCCCGGAAGCTCTGCCAAGTTAAGTTATCATAATCTGATAATTCCTAAGCAGGAAATAATTGAGAATAACAGACCTGTCAGTTGAAGCGGTAACATAAATTTTTGGGCATCAATTGTTGTCTTTTTATTTCTGTAAAGATCATATATATTCTGCATCTATTGGATTTGTAACTAGATACCCTCTGTAAGATGCTATGACCCATGATGATATGTATGTTATCAACTCTCTCCATTAAATACTCATAAATTAAAAAGAGATCTTATAGTAGGGATCGGATGCAGCTTATATGCTTGTGTTTATTGGTTTCACTTGTTGGAAGCTCTTTCACTCTCATTTGAGGGGGGAACTATCATGATTCTTTTCTCATTAGTGGCTGATTGCTGATGAACCAGATGACAATCCAAACAGCACAAATGGAGCATCAAAACCATTATAATTTGCTGCAGCAACTGCAGGTAATAAATGCAAGTTATTCATAAGGAATGCTGATGCTGATGCTTCCCCCATCTTGGTTGAAAATCTTGGAAAAATTTCTATGTGCATGTGTAATATGGTATCTTATGATTATATTTTCTTTGATCAAGAAGGTAGAAAGAAAAATAAATTATCAAATTCGACATTGGCAGATCAGAAATTGGTATGCCATAAAACTTTGGAAAATCTTTGATGTCTTTTCCTTTGTCATTGACCTGTGATATATAAGGGGCATTGTTCCATGTTAGTGGAGAATGTCATCATATTTTCTTGATCTATACTTCCTCTGTGATCATTTTGCTATTTTTTTTCTTTGAGCCGATCTTTTTGCTTTTATTTGCATCATATGATTGTTTCCTGCTTCATGGAATGTTCATCTGCAGGATAATATCAAGGCTGAGGAGTATAAACCCGTTGATGATACTGTTGATTCTTTTCTGTCCCATGATGATGATGTTGTTGATAACCCAAGCACTCCTTTCAAGATTTTAAGGCACCGTTCTAGCTGGCTTAATAAAACGTGAACATGAAGGTAATCCACAATTCTGTTAAGACTAACAGAAAAATGATTTTCGGTTCTCCTTAGGTTCTGATGTAATGGAAAGAGAGATTTTATACTGGTTAATTTATCCTATATAGAAAGGTGCAACTCAACTCATCTTTAGTTGTCTATGGAATATGTTTGGTTGTAGCAATTCATCAAGATCGACAATGAAAGCATTCTCTGGCGTCCTTCTCCACCAAACTTGGTGTAGATTATGTGTGTGTGTGTGTATATACATACATACGTACGCTTTCATAACAGAAAATAATATGAGATCCTGTCATGAAGAAGCACTTGTGGTACTATAACAGTAAAGATAATACTGAAACAACCATAATAAAATGATATGTCATCACTGGTGTAGGCTTCACATTTGAAGAAGTTAGTTGCCTCCACTCGAGCAAAAGCAAAGTCTTGAGCTGCCATTTTTCATCAGATGGGAAGTTTCTAGGGAGTGCAGAGGATAAAAAGAAGGTGGTGCTAAGGTGCAATGCAGCTTTTTGTTCAAACAATATTTTGTATAAGCTTAGAGCTAATTGCAGTTTTCTTTTGTTAGGTCTTGATATGGAATCTGGAAACCCTTGATTTTGTTAGAACTTCGGAGGGCCATTCTCTACTCATTACTGATGTTCGTTTTAGACAAAGTTCAACCATATTTGCAACATCTTCTTTTGACAAAACTGTCCAAATATGGGATTCTGACAAAGTAACAATTTATTTTTTGTAATTTTATCAGATATTTATTTAGTATTTGCTAAATTTCTGTCTGCTTTTTCAGAATGAAGATTGGCTATTCCATAATTAATGTCTTTTTATGGTGCTCATTTTGTTGATTAGATGGGCAGACTATTCCACTGCACTTATTTTCTGTTTGGCAATGTCTTCATTTCTTTGCTCTGCAGCCAAGAAAATCACTTTTCAAGCTTGTGGGGCATGCTGAACAGGTTTTGTCATTGGATTTCCACCCTAGAAAGGTGGATCTTCTTTGTTCCTGTGATAGCAATAACGAGATGCGATTATGGAATATCAACCAACGTACTTGCATTAATGTCTCTAAGGTCAGTTTCTGAGCCTTATATCTATTAGAATTTCTCGAAGACATCTTAGTTTACTACTAATTTAGAATAATACATCATTATCACTTATGAAATCTTTTCTTGGCTATGCATTTCAGCTCAGCATACTTCTAGAGGGTTTATGCTTGACAAACATTGAAATGGTTGAAATCTACATTTTTAGAATCTTTAGTTTTGCATCCTTGCGTGTTTCTACAAATTAAATTCTGTAGAAAGGAAGTGTTAACAACATCAAATTATTCTTTGTTTGGCAAACTCATTTAGCAAATATTAAAGTACTTGTAAATGACAACCTCACTTATGCTTATGACAATTTCCTTATGAGGTGACTGCAGGCACCTACTAAATAAGTCCGATTCCAGCCGGGACTAGGAAAGTTAATTGCAACTGCATCGGGGAATGTTGTCAATGTTATTGATGTTGAGACTAACAAGCCTCAATTCTGTTTGAAGGTTGATTCACTCTCTATGTTATCATAACATACATGCATCTAAAAGTCTATTTGTCTCCTTGCTTATCTGAACGATTGTTATATTCATTGAGGGGCATGACAAAGATGTACTTTCAATTTGCTGGGATCCATGTGGCAAGTATATTGCCTCCATCAGTGAAGACAGTGCACGAGTGTGGTCAGTATCCGGGGGAGAATGGTTGCATGACTTGTTCTCAACAGGCAACAAGTTCCAGTCCTGCACATTTCATCCTACGTACTCACAACTCTTGGTCATTGGTGGCTACCAGGTGAAGTATTCAAAATATTATTTACAAAATACTCTGTCTGTTCCTCGTATGTTTGCAGGCGTTTTTTAAACAAATATAGTTGTAACATAAAAAAAAAAACTAGGTTGGCTAACCTAATAGGCTGACGTTGTCTTAGCCTGATGTTCATTTAACGCTCTGCCATCCTTTTGCAATCTTTGCTAATCCCATTCTTTCTATTAAGATCAAATTTGTTTTCTTGTCAACAGTATATTGAATATGGAATCCAATTGAGACCAACAAAACATTGACAGTTGAAGCACACAAGGGACTTATTTCTTCAGTTGCGGATTGTCTACAGACTGAAATTATCGCTTCCACAAGCCATGACCAGTTCGTTAAGCTATGGAAGTAAACATCCTTCTCCATGATTACTCATGCATCTATTTGTACATGCAGATCATTTCTCAGAACAAGAAACTAATGACAACTCGGGTAAAGAGTCGAGATAAGTACCGGGCCGAAGATTGCCCGCTTAGTGGTGAAGTTAATAGAAGTATAGGTATACTCGCATGAAATCTTAACTACAGGCTAGAAGTTATACAACCAAAGTATAAAATGAGGGCTTTTAGTTTCTCTTTTCTTGTCGACTGCACTTCCGGACTTGGATCCTCCTGTTTTTACATGGGAAATAGAGGAGTAAAGTTAAAACTGCTTAATTCTGTGAGAATAATGAAGCTTTATGTGGGAAAGGTTTCGGGATGCATTGCTGCTTACTGCCTACTCTCTCGGATTAAAACATTGGTCGTTCATTGTTATATCAATCCATTAATTTAAGGTTAATATTTCATACAGAGTAGGATTGTATTACTCTTATAATTATATGACATATTTGAATGACATAAAACTCTAACCTCTAAATTCTAAATATTAAAATATAACCCTAAATATGATATGTGACTTGAAATACCTTTTCTCCGCCACCACTTGTGTAGAAACATAATTTTTAATTTAAATGTTATATTAATAATTCTAACAAATCATTAAGATATATGAACTAATGCTATTATTTTTAATATTTTTTAAGAAAATGTTCAAGGTGCTAATAAAATGATCTAAACTTGATTTTTTTGATTGATTTGGGTATTTTTTTAATGTACATCACTAAGTATTTTTAAATAAAAGGATAAATATACCATTATTATTGTTTAACAAGTATTTTTGATTTATTTCACTCAATTTTAATTACAAAATAAAAAGTTTAATAATTTAAGAATAATATTAGAAGACTATAAAATGAAATTCAAATTACATTTGATTTGATTTGATTTCAAGTAAAAAGTTTAATAATTTACTCTCTAACATAACAAAAAATTAGTTGATCCAATGAGATGAGACACTAGATCCTTAAGCAAGGTCACATGATTTAAATCTAGAACGCTTGCGAATGGAGCAAATTGGGTTGGGAGTCATCCTTGCCTCAGCAGTACCCTACCGGGTCATATAAAAAAGAAATTTATTCTCTATCATAATGCCTAGTTTGCAATAAGAAATTTTTTCCCTATTCCCTTCTCAACCCAAGAACCTATAATGTATTGTAAAAGCAGAGCAAAGACTGAAGCTTGCTACTGACACCACTCGAAATGAAAATTTGTAATGGTTGACATCAGGTAGCATATCAAGACCGTTATAGCAGTCATCGAAGTTGATCTGAATATCATCTCGCCTTACCACGTAGTGATGTTGACGAGGTTTATAGTGAAGCTGAAGTTATTTGGTTGTAGGTTTAATGTTGACGTCGGATACAAAATGTTTTGATTTGTGTGGAGGCGGAAATGCAAATTAGCAGCATCCATGTTCAATGTCATAAGGTCGTTATGTTCTTTATGTTCCTTGTGTACATTAAGTTGTTATGCAAGTAATTCTAAACGAGTTTCACCCTCATCCTCTAAATTGCATTTACACAATTGCTTTCAGATTCACGGAAAGAAAGTGTACATACACTGTATGGTAGTTGCAGGCTATGATACTGTTGGCGATAATGAAACTGAGAGTTTGATGCTGCTGTTACGGGTTTCAAACTCGAGTTTTTCGACTTCATTGTTCATAGATTGAAAACTCTGAATCTAGGACATTGTTATATTAAACAAAATGTTATTCCAAAAAACAGAACAATAAAATAACAATAATAATAAACAAGTATTAAAAACAGAGGAAATAATTTGATTACGTCGGTCTCCCGGGATACAACCTCAAACAATCATGACAGTAGTTATCAGTCAAATATAATCTTACGTTCTCTATTATCAGAAATAACGAATTTGAAATGAATTTTTCGAATGTCTTTTTTATTTCGAAGTAATGAGTTGTCTAAGATTTGTCCTCAAACATTAAAACATTTTCATGAAGAGATTTATTCGAAAGTTAACAGATATAATCAGATTAAATTAAGATTGTTCTAAATTGCATGACTTATTATAATTAGGTTAAATTTTATTCAATTAATTTATTATTTTCCAACAATTTAATGCTGTCGTGATCAATGAAGGATGATTTGTATGTGCTCGTGTTCTGTCTGTAATTTTTTAGGATTGTCTCAGGAATTGTAGATTAATATACGGTTAATATACGGTGTTACCGGATATATTAAAAGATATTTGATAAATTCGGTTTAGCGCTACCGGAAATATCGAGTAATAATAATATAATAGGTGGAAATCATAAAGAAATATTAAAAAATTTGGCAACTGGCAAACTTAGCTTGTCGGTTTGTGTCGATACTTTATAAAAATATATTGATCTATAACAATATAACAGGTAAAAAAATGACAAAACCGGTCTATAAATGAAAAAACAGGTAAAACGCTACCAGATATATTGGAAGTGTCGATACTTTATAAAAATGTATCGATCTATAACAATATAACAGGTAAACAAATGGAAAAACCGGTCTATAAATGACAAAACAGGTAAAGTGCTATCGGATATATTGAAAGAGTCGATACTTTATAAAAATGTATCGATCCATAACAATATAACAGGTAAAAAAATGATAAAACCGATCTATAAATGACAAAACTAGTAAAGCGCTACCGGATATATTGAAAGTGTCGATACTTTATAAAAATATATCGATCCATAACAATATAACAGGTAAAAAATGACAAAACCGATCTATAAATGACAAAACAGGTAAAGCGCTACAAGATATGTTGATAGTGTCGATACTTTATTATAAGTATCGACACTTTTGGAATTTAAAAGAGAAGAAGTTATAACGCTAATAAAATGTCGATACTTTATACAAAATGTATCGATCCATAACAATATAACAGGTAAAAATATGACAAAACCGGTAAAGAGCTATCGGATATGTTGAAAGTTGATACTTTATTATAAGTATCGACATTTTTGGAATTTAAAAGAAAAAGAAGTTATAGCGTCAATAAAGTGTCGATACTTTATAAAAATGTATTGATCCATAATAATGTAACAGGTAAAAATATGACAAAATCGGTATCAAAAAAATATGCTTGTGTGGTCATTTTTATTTCAGAATTTTTATTTTTTAATACAAAAAGTTAGATATTTTAAACAAAACCCAGTAAGAAAATAACAAAAACTTTACAGTAACAAAATAATAACATTGGGAAACCTACTATGTTATCAGTTTCTCAAAGAACAAAAACCCAGAAAAAAGTAAATTTACAATGTAACCGGTAAAAATATACTGATTAATTAGCAAATAGGTTTACATTATGTATCGACACTCTTTAAATATGTGTTAATATTTTTTCCCAAAATGAAAGCACAACGAGGTGCACATATAAAGTGTCGATATATTTAAAATTGTATTAATCCAAAAATATTAAAACCGATAATTATAATGTAATAAGTAAATTTGTAATGTTATCGGTTTAAATATACCTGTTTAGTTAGAAAATAGGTCAATATAAATATTACCTATTACATTATATAAATGTTACCTAATATATTATTGTACTTAACAATATTTCCAATTTATCATGCTTTTCTTATATATTGTACTCTAAATTTTAACCGATCACTTATTTAATAAGTCACACTATTTTTTAACCTTTTTTAAGCGCCACAAAGCAGAAGTTTCTAATTTTTTATTGAGTATAAAATCTGGCTCAAGAAGTTCGTAGGGATGTAAGATGCTGCCAATAGGATGAGTCCATGTGTGAGAAAAGCATGAGAAACCAGGCAAGTGGTGCAGAAGGGTCGGTCTGGAAAATTGTGCACGCGCGTACACACATGTATAACAGAGATTAATAATTAAAAATAAAAAGATATTCATTAAAAAAATAAATATATAATCTTAATAATATATTTTTATTCATTTAACGAACTTAAATATTTATATAATTAAAAAAAATTTACATTATAAAATAAATTTTAATCTTTATATATATATATATATATATATATATATATATATATATATATATGCTCCGTACAGAATGACAAGTGGGTGACGAAAGCTTGAGGGAGAGTTGGCGCCACCTTCGGTTTAAATGTCGCATTATTCTTAAGCTCATCTTGAACAAAACACCATGCACTGTGGCCTGTGGGAAGAGATTTCCTTCTATTGTTTTTTGGCTTGTAAATGAACTGAACGTTCAGCGAATCATTTATGAATCGTACGGTGAGAAGTTCGTTTATGTGCATTTATTTATTAAATGAACGAATATGAACATAAGTCTCGTTCGTTCATTTACGTTCGTGAACGTTCGATTATGTTTATTTATGTTCGTTCCGTTATGTTTGTTTATGTTCATTCATTTATATTTAACCCAATCTTCTTAAATCAATTTTGGTGACCAATTTGTAAGTATCTTAAAAATATTAATTAATCTGATATTCTGATGACCAACTCCATAATTAACCCAATTTTATTTGGAGATTAAATCCAATATGTTAACCCATGAGACACCTCGCACCTATATTCATTTTCCATTTTTTTTCTCAAACCCTAATATTCTCTGAAGAGTGGAGACGATCGCTGAAAACTTCAAAACAAGTTATATTATAGTGCAATCTGAAGTTTACAGGTCTGTTTTCATCTCTTTCTCTGTTTTATTTGGCTTAATAGTTGATATGTAAAGTTATTGTGGGTATCTTAACATCTAAACCTCAAGAAAACTTCATACTTCTTTCTAGAAATAGATGAGAAGATAAATGTAACAATCGGAAGTATATGAGCATCAGTAAAAAGAAAAATATAATAGAATTTGCCAGAAAACAAAACAAAGATTTCTATTTAATTTCTGAAAAAATAGTGTAATAGCGGAAGTAATGGGTTTTCCATGAAGAACCCATTGATAAGTAGAAAATACACTTTGACAATCAACTTTTGTTTTTCATAGTTATTGTGTAACTTTTAGTTATGGAGTAGAGTTTAGGTACGTTAAAATTTTGAATGGTGGTTTAGCAATAATATCAATTACGATATGTAGCATCGAAGGGATTTCGGATTTATGTTATTGCCTTGTAGTCCAATTTGTACTGTTCGAAATCTTCATGTTGTTAAATTTTATACTCTGCCAACGGAAATGACCATTATTAACAAACCTCACTAAAGTCTGACATTGATGTCACAAAACTTTTAGCCGACGAATTTATTAGAATAACATAGATTTGATTGATTTGCATTGTCAACTATTTTTCATGAAAGAACAATGGAAGGTAGGGTCTCCAACGTTTATGTTCGTGTTCATTTATGTTCGTGTTCGTTTATTTATTAAATGAACGAACATGAACAAGTTATATTCCTTAATAAACGAACATGAACAAAAAAAATTGTTCGTTTATGTTCTTTTATTTATTAAATGAACGAACATGAACATACCTCCGTTCGTGTGCGTTCGGTTCATTTACAGGCCTAATTATTTCGTGTAAGCAAATGAATCCCAGTGGTTGAAATCTTATATTACAAACATATAAAAAGAGATGGCTTCTCAACAATGGCAGTCATGTCCACATGGCGAGTCAAATTGCAGGAAAAAAATCCTCCCATGGAAGTGGCCTAAAACAACACAAGCCCAGAGGAACACATATTGGCTCATTCAACTCTTAAACACATGGGTCTAACTCTAATAACAACCTAGCCACCGAAATGGGTCCATATAAACGTCATTTTTTATCGAAACAAATTCTCAAAGGTTGAAACGCCAGAGGCCTAGAGGAGCAGTTGTAACCCCCAAATCCCTACGGAAAAAGCCGTCACCGCCTACTGCTGCATCTCTTCGGTTCCAATTAAATTATTAATTCCGAGTCGGTATATATTGATTTATCAAATGAAATTTGTTTACTCTTAACACACAAATAGTATTAATAGATAATTAAATATCGAATTAACCTATTTTAGAATAAAATTTTAATTTTATATTAATATTTTTTTGAATAATTTAAAAAAAATAAATTGATATTAAACCCATAATTTAAGAAAGAAAATATTAACCAAGAATTTTTAACTACATATTTTAGAGACTATTTACTTTGTGGTTGATGCTATTAAGTGCTATAAATTAACTTAAATTAATTTAAGTTAATTTAAGTAAAATAAAATAAAATAAAATTAATAAATAGAGTAGGGATGGGCATGAGTCGGGTTTCGACCAACTCGACCCGACCCTACCCGAAAAATATATATCCTCCACCCGACCCGAATATGACCCGATTTTTTGTGATAAAGTCCGAACCGGTCTGATCCGACTTAAAATAATAATAAAATATTATTTTTATTCAATAAAATAATGATTTAATTAAAAAAATAATATATAGAAGAGTATTATTGTAATTATTTCTAAATATATAAGTTAAAATTATATTTTTTGAGATCAAATAGGGTCGAGTAATTTTACCCTAATATCAAATCCGACCCGACCAAACATCACCTTTAAAAAATCCAAATCAAACTTAATTCTTTTAAAAAATCAGACCTGATCAGATTAATTCAGAACCTATTGAATTTGGATCTCATGCCCAACCCTAAAGTAGCGTGATTCATAAATCATGTAAAACACAAAGTTACCAACATAATCCTCCAATAAGATAAGAACTAATAACAGAAATAATACAATAATCAGACAGAATTAGGAAAGTGGAATGAGAGAGAGAGAGATAGCGGGAGGAAAACAGTACACAGCTGCAGCCCACCACACCATTGGCGACCGCCGCGCCGCCTATCTGCCCACTGCCTACTGGTCCATTCACTATCATGTTGTCTCTCTCTCTTATCAGGCCTCACCTATGGTTCATTGTCTGTCCCCCAAAAACACACGTTAAAGATTACTGAATCAAGGTTTGGCGTGCCTATTTCATGAACTTCTAATGACCTTGATGATGATCGATCAGGTGAAGCAGTGTGTTTTGTTTGAGATGACTACTGAACTCGAACCAACCGTTCCTGTCTCTAAGAACATCTCTCCCTTAGTGGACTTTTTCCACGACCGACACTCGTACAGATTCCCTTCTTTTACCCTCTCTCGTAAAAGCAGGTCAGCCACTCCTCAGCTTTCTACACATTCGAAAGTGTATGTATAAATTTATATACACTTAATGGAGATGGAAATCAGGCAAGATTTTTCATTGGGTTTTAAGGGGATACTTTTATAAATTCAGATTCTTGATTATCGGTTGTTTGTTTGTTTTCTTGGATTTTTTTTTTGAAAAAGTAAATGAGACTTGGGGAAGAGCATGATTTTGTGGAGGCGGGTTGGTGGGTAGGGTTATACGTATTTAGACAAGTAACGATCGCCGTGGTTTTGTTTGTACAGTAGAGATTCTCAAGAGCCAGAAATAGACACGTAGAGACGAGTTTTCATAGACTTTATATCTGGTACGCCTCTCTATCTTTTCAAGACTCCTGCATGCACGAACCCCAATTAAACCCTGGTTAATTTCGGTTCAATATCAGATTAACGGAGAAGGATTTTATAAATCACCATCGGAAGGAAGAGGCAGCTTCAATAGATAGAGCGATGCAGCAAGATAGAGGTGGAAGAGGGAGTGAAAAAGGCATGAAACAGCAAGATCAGAGATTGACGGAAGAGAATCAGCATCAGCAGAACCCACCTCAAAAGTGTCCTCGTTGCGAATCTCTTAACACAAAGTTTTGTTATTACAACAATTACAGTCTCTCCCAGCCTCGTTATTTCTGCAAGACTTGTCGAAGGTATTGGACCCAAGGTGGAACACTAAGGAACGTGCCTGTAGGAGGTGGTTGCAGGAAAGGGAAGCGAACAAAGGTTTCTTCTCCCGGTGAAAACTCAAGGTCTCATCCACAAATACCTCAGCAACACAACATGGCATCACCACAAAGTATCATCTCTTCTAATCCTGTGATCAGTATAAGTGCTGCTCTGAGAACCAAGGAAACCGGTACTTTGGCTTCATCGTCTGCTATTTCTTCAGTGGGATCGTTTTACCCTGGTGCTGGATTCTTGTCTTCTTTCGCTGCAATTCAGTCGATGAATCAACCACAACCGCAACCTTTTAATCAAGCTCTCTATCAGGCTCTAAGCATTGGTGGTGACCTGGGTGGTTTTTCAAATTTGGGTCTTTTGCAGGGATATGGTGTCCCTTCTTTCGGTTCACAACAGCCCCAGTCAGTTCAGCAAACCCAATTCTTTTCTATGGGCGATAGAGATCAAAAGACTGTAAACATTTTCCCATCTGATCAAGAAAGGTTGATTCAGTCTAGCAGGCCTGCTGCAGGTAACTCTTCTATGCAGAATTGGCATCAATGTTTCATCAGCAACCATGACCCTACAGTTTCTGAAGCGGCTTTGTGGAGTATCAACAACAGCAACAGCAGCACAAGCAGCCCTGGGAACACAAACACCAGCAAAACTACGGTTGCTTCTTTGAATCCAAATCAATGGCGTGATCTTCCAGATTATGTCGCTCCTCCATAATGATCTTTGGTCAGCCATTGTTGCAAACGTCCAAAGGTAGACAGCTTAAAAACTCTAAAATGGAAATTCATTTTTAGCCTTCTCTATACAGAAAGCCATCGAACTTTCAACCTCACATGAAGAAAATTGCATCTTTTATTGTCTGTCCAGCTGCTGTCGTTGGGTTGGTTTTAATCTGGTTCAACTTGAGGACATCAATTCAGAGAAAATATTCTAATGTGGGTTTGATTCCTGTAAATGAAAGATCGGTATTGCTAATAGCCTTTTGTTTTTTTTTGTTTTTTATTTTCTTCTAATTACAGATTCTGGGTCGTCTTTTTTCTTTTAAAACTTTTGAGAATTCTTGGGACGGAAACATCGATCATCTGAGTTGGGTTTTGTTGGTGTTCTTTTAAAACTTTTGATAGTATTATAATAACGGGGAGTATATAGTTTCAAGCTCATGTTGATCAGGCTGAGCCTTTTGTTTGATTGTTTACCTTTTGCGTTTTTAGCTTTCATTCCATTCCATTCAGAAACTGAAAAAAAACAGGAGTGACATAATTATTTTGATTGTAGTCAAGTTGGGTTTGCATTTGGATGAAGACATGGATATGGTGGAGCTGATGTCTTTTGTAGTAGTAGTTGAACTTAAACTAGATGGTTTCTTCTTAGTGCATGTGGATGTGGGTAGCTGAGACAAAACAAAATCCATCACTCCTTTTAACAATTCCAAGTGCCATCTATCACCCTCTCCACTTCGTTACATCACATGCATGATATTGTTTTCATAACACGAAAGACAGTAGTATTATGTTAATATGGTACGGGGTTGAAATTGTCAATTTGATCTCATCATCATCAACAGTCATATATTTTGGATTTGGTGGACACAGGTATAACAGCCACATACTGTTTCGAGTCTCGAAGTAAGCAGAGAATATGAAGCACTTTAAACTTAAAAGTTCGTTTTTTTTTTGGGGGAGGGGGGGGAAGGGCGTCTTCAACATTTGACCTTCCCCAATACATATATAGACTAATTTATTCAATCAAGAAGACAGAAGGAGAATGATGGTTAAATGAACGAATCCATCGGTGGGAGGCGTGGAACTGGGTATTGTGGTTTCCAAGTAAAACCAAATCTCTGTTCTGTTTATATTATCCGCATGCATTTATAGTGTGTTATTTGTAATATGGTCCTTTTCCCAGTTTATTTTTTTTCCACATCATTTTTCCATATTCAAGTAATATGGGTTACTCCACTTCAGAAGGCCCCGTTCATCATCCATCATTCGACCAGTCGTTGTTCAACTGAACAAATGGTCCTTGTGGACTAGCCTTAGCCTTTGCTTTTCCTTTGCCAATTATCATCATTCTCCTCACCAAATAGCTTGCTATGTCATAGTCTTTCGCTATCTTTAATGGTAATAAATAGATAGGCCAATGGGTTACTCCACATTTTATTTTTGAATATAACATATAATAGTAGTAAATATATTATATTTTACTTGAATATAATTACTTATTATATTATGCCATGGCATCTTCTTGTGAATTATTCTTTTAACAAATTATTGAAAGACACTATTAGAAACCTTAGGTTTATATTCACGTGTTTACACATGAAATCTAACATGATTACTATTTAGAAGCCCTAGGTTTTCTGCATAAAATCTGGAAAAGTTCTCAAAGAAGTTAATTTTTTAACCCCATAAATAATTGATTCATAAATCAACTGTATATATGAATTTTAAATTGTATATGATTTTTTTTACTTAAAAGGAGGATTTATTTCACTTTTTCGTTATTTTTATTTAATTATTTTACTATTCAGAGATACTTATAATGTAATATTTATTTAATTTTTTATTAATCAATCGTTAACACACACCTTATAAGTATGATTACTTGAACTTGAGTCCTATATAAAAAACAAAATTCTCTTGTGTTTGCCATTTATACTTAAATACATAGTAATTGAATTAAATAAGATTGTAATCTGTGTATTATGTCATTAGTAAGAGCCAAAATATAAGAGAAGAGAATTGAGATATATAATTGGCCTCGTGTCCTACCCTAGACTATATATAATTGGCCTCGTGTCCTACCCTAGACTGCCCTAAACTGAGCTGACTGATCACCTACAACCTTTGCCCCATCTAGCCAACTATTAAACCCTTATTTCCACTTGTACCGCTATGATTTTCTTTTAAACTTTTAGGTGACATTCGATTCGCTGAAATGTTTACGAGAGAATTAGAATTTGTGAAGGAATTGAAATATGTAAGAATTGAAATTTAATTCCATATTATGTTTGGTTCGCAGACATGTCAGATGAATTTGATTTTAGTAATATAAAATGACAGAATTATCTTTCTTATTTTTTTACTTTATTTTAGTTTATTTTATAACTTACATGTAGTAATATACTATAAAAAATTAAAAAATATTAAATTTTTATTGATTGTTTATTCATTTCAATAAATTATAAAAATCATCCTAATAAACATTATAAGTTAAAATCATCGCAATCAAAATATGTTAATAATTTACCAAAAGATAGAGTAATATTTCGATACATTCTAATCGGAGTATGTTAATTAGTTACCAAAAAATATACCAAAAACTATTTTTATTCAATATATGAATTAGAAACTCAACCCGACACGACTCAAAATAATAAAAACATTATTTTTATTCAATAAAAATATTGACTTAATTGAAAAAAATTATATATAGAGGGATATTATTGTAATTATTCCTAAATATATAAGATAAAATTATATATTTTTTACAGGTCGGTCTGGTTTTTTTACCCTAAACCCGAACCCGACCCGACCTGACCCGAATATCACACTTAAAAAAACCCGACCCGACTCGACCCGAATATCACACTTAAAAAACCCGACCCGAACAAAACAAAGTTTCACCAGACCCGACCCGACCCGACTCGAAATAATAAACAAAAATTATTTAATAAAAACAGTGAATTAATCCGACCCGACCCGAATTATATATATTTTCGGGTCGGTCCGATTTTTTTCACCCTGAACCCGACCCGAATATTACACTTAAAAAACCTGACCCGACCCGAACAAAATAAAGTTTCATCCGACCCGACCCGAATATATGAATTAGAAATCAAACCCGACCCGACCCGAAATAATAAAAAATTATATTTATTTAAGTGACTTAATCCAATCCGACCTGAATTATATATATTTTCGGGTCGGTCCGTTTTTTTCACCCTAAACCCGACCCGACCCGAATATCACACTTAAAAAAACCCGATCTGACCCGACCAAAATAAAGTTTCACCCGACCCGACCCGACCCGACCCGAATATATGAATTAGAAACCCGACCCAACCCGAAATAATAAAAAATTATTTTTATTTAATAAAAACAGTGAATTAATCCGAACCGACCCGAATTATATATATTTTCGGGTCGGTCCGATTTTTTTCACCCTGAACCCGACCCAAATATTACACTTAAAAAACCCGACCCGACCCGAACAAAATAAAAATTCATCAGACCCGACCCGAATATATGAATTATAAATCAAACCCGACCCGACCCGAAATAATAAAAAATTATATTTATTTAAGTGACTTAATCCAACCCGACCTGAATTATATATATTTTCGGGTCGGTCCGTTTTTTTTCACCCTAAACCCGACCCGACCCGAATATCACACTTAAAAAAACCCGATCCGACCCGACCAAAATAAAGTTTCACCCGACCCGACCCGACCCGAATATATGAATTAGAAACCCGACCCAACCCGAAATAATAAAAAAATATTTTTATTCAATATATAAATAAGTTACCAAAAGATTGATGAGGGTAGTATGGTCAAATTTCAATTCCCTCCAACAAGGGAATTGAATTCGATCAATTTTTGGATGGAATTCACTTTCCCTCATTTGATGGAATTGAATTCCATCAGAAATTCCAATTCCCTTGAAAAACTTGAACCAAACATGGGAAAGTGGTGTAATTGGATTCCAATTCCCACTAATTCCAAGGGATTTCATCCAATCAAATGCCACCTTAATATTTTCTCATGAAATAATCAATTTATATCTTTAAAAATCAAAAGTATACTCTTTTTTATATAATTTATGCACTATCTAGGACCATTGAAGAACAAAGTCACGCAAGTAACATGGTAGAGCAATTTCTTCCTTTAATCACGTGTTTTTATTCGTAACACTAAATATAGTAGGAGATTATATAATCTGTATGTTAGGAATTTGGAAGAATAAAAGTAATTAGAAGTGAGGTTAATATGAAGTAGATCGTATTTAATACGTGAGATTGGATGTGATTTGATTTTGTCCATGTCTACAAATAAAAATAATAATAATCAATTATAAACATAAATTACAAAGAGTACAAATATATTTGAATCAATATGTAATTTGTACCTTTTTTCACCTTTAATTTCTTTTTGGTTATATTTGGATGAGAATAAGAGAAAATATTATATTTTCTGAACTTTAGGTTGAAGCAAAGCTTTCCCCCCCCCCCCCTTAAATGAAGAACCAAGGGGAATAACCTAGCAAAAAAGGCACTAAAGAGATGTGGCTGGTCCATGCATGCACATGCACCATTCCCCCCAAGAAAACTGAAATCAATGAATTATTTCTTTGGGCCATAAAATCCCAAATTTCCATTTTAAAGTATTTTTTCTATTGGAAATTAACGGTCATAATCTACATACAACTTAAAAAAGCATTGAATGGTCAATTCCCTTAAAAATCACACGACAAAGTATTCTCTTTCAAAGAAGATATAATGTAACGAAAAAAGCTAGGGTCAAATGCGCGTACATAATTCTTGGCCAAAGACTGTGTGGTTGTGTAAGAGTAACACAACAAAGTCCATAATCCCTGTCAGTGTTTTGGAGAAAAAAGGTTTGAAAAGAATCAACCAGAAAAACCATAAATCTGCTTTGAAATCTTAGGGTCGTTGCTTGGACAAAATCACACGCATTCTTTGCCGGGACAGTATCAAAGTTGGATAGGATGGGGAGTGAGATCAGCAACATGTCCCTCAACTGCTCGTGTTTTTTGGGCTACTTGTCGTCTTCCCGATGGCTTCCAAAGGAATGATTTGGCCAGCCTTGCAATACAGTATTTGACGAGTTAAAATTAAATAATTGCTAACATGGTAATGTAGTTGGTGGATTTTGGAACCATTTGATTAAGACTGGTTCTGGTTATTTAATGATAAAATTTGGGAGCTCTCATTGTCAATTAAAATTATCGTAATTGAGTGAGATCCTTGGTCTGATTTTCTTCTAATTATATCGATGGTGGAGAGGCTTGTGTGATAGCTACACAAAGGGAAATTTCTTTTAAACTGTTGGGCAATTGAAGAGATGATTTAAGGCTAAGCTTTTGAAAAAGTTTATTGCTCAAAAAGGCGACAAATCTTAGGCCGGATATGTATGTTAGGGGCTAAGAAAAAGACTGCTGATTGGACCCCTATACGAAATACTAGAAAAATAATTGAAATTACGTTTGATTCACGATTGGGCCTAGCAATTTTGGCCCAATGAATTATGATTTGACCAAAGCCCATATTTCACTTAAACCCCCCAAATTTTGTTATATTGGGGATAAGTCACGTCTTAGTCCTTGAATTTATCCACTATTTCACATCAGTACTTGAATCTTTTTTGTTGTCCACATCTTGATTTTAAAGAATGAATCGATTCGAATCCATAAAGCCATTAAGATTTGTTATCCCTAAGCAGAACAGATAACTCTCAAGCTTCGTTCTAGATTTATGAGTGACTGTTGCCTTTGGTTTTGCCCCATTAATCTTCAAATGTATAGCTGGCTGTGCTTTATATAATTGGTTGCAAATTGCAGCCGAAGATCCAAGGCAACATGAAGTTAATGGAGAGATGAGCTCAACCACAAACACTCAGCCGCTTTTTCTTTTAAGGATACATATATGCATGAAGGTAAATCTAAAACTGAAATAATGAATTATAAGTTAAATTGTTAAAAAAGAGTATAAGATTGGTCCCCCACTACAAGTTATGAACGAAAGCAATGCACCAAGTGGGCATGATGGCAGCTGCACCACTGCCTTGTTCTTTTCCCATAGACTAGCTCAGCCGACTATAATGTAATAGATCAAAATAATTCCTTCTGGGTTTCTTTGGCATTAATTCAACCCAAACCAGATGTATTATAGTCGAAGGTTAATTAAACTTTGACGATTCAATAAAATATGAACCATAAACATAATAATCAAATAATTGTTTTTTTATTTAATGATGATCTCTAAATTATAAATTCAATACTTTTTTTTAATTTAGTATTCATAATTTTTATTTAATAATTAATTTAAGTACACTTTCACGGTCAATTTATTGTTCACGATAGTATAACATAATATACCTTAAATTATAAAACCTCAACCTTTGTTGTGGGTTGGCCATTGTCTAATGTTGTTACGACTCTATGAAAAAAGTTACTTCCTCCATAGCAATTAGAGCATAGTTTTTCCAGTTAGCTACACAGTATTCACCATAGCAAACCTATATATATATATATATATATATATATATACCGCTTTTTTCATTTACATAGTTAAGCTGCAAGAGAATTCTTATGTATGTATATCTTTGGATACAAGGCCTGTGACAACCTAAACTGAAAAAAGCTGGTTCAGATTTCTGTAGCATAAATGTGTTATAATTAAGATCTAATGGTATTCAGTTCAAACATTGATCAACCTTTATGTCACAAACTAAACAGGTTCATTAGCAAAATAATTCCATTACAACATTAGGAATTTAAATTCAAATTCAAACAAGTAATCAACAATTACCATTTCCATCACTTTCTTGGGCATGCTAATAACTACTACTCCTATGGAATCGTGTTGAGAATCTTAAAGGGTATTGATTTTTGCAGCTTTTAAAAGCACCTCAGTCCTCACCAACAAAATAAAAGTATGGGGTTTCGAGTCCAAGACACAAACTCTATGTGTGCGTGTGTGTGTATGCAGTACTTGAGTTAAATTTTATGTGCTTATATTACGTTTGATCCGAAACCTCATTCTTAACTCTGCTCTACACTTAAAGAGTTCCAATCATAAATTTTAGTGGAATTCATAGCAGTGGCAGAGATAAGACACTAAATCATTAATCCAATTACGAGTGCAGAATAGAACTATTTTTCCAAGAGCAAAAACCATCACCAGATAGCATAGAAAATAACCGACTTAATCTGAGCTATAATTACAAGTAAATCTAACATTTAGGTTATAGGTTGAATTCCTGAGCCATATATAGGTGCCCATATCCTCTTTGACCTTTCCTTTTCTCTTCTTAAAACAAATTTTGTACAGAGAGGGGGAATTAGGATGCATCCAAGCAGCTAAAATCCAACAGTGGACCTAACTCTCGTTTGCTCAGTTGCTGTCTCACCCAAAACTCACTGCCATAACTCAACTGTTTCTTCATGTCTATAGTCTTTACTCTTTAAATCGATTGTGCTGCTAAACCAGCAAATGCAGTAATGCTACCCTACTAAAATCCAATCCCTAAACGACACATATCATAACCCATTCCCAGTTTGCCTTGAATCTTAATGAATCCATCAGGTCTTACGTTAATTAATATCCCCAACTTGCAAAAAAAAAAGACTAGACATTCCTACAATAAATACGCGCATACATAAATTTCCATGCAAGGTTTAAAGATATCATGATTTTTTCTTGTTTTTAAACAAACCGAAGTTCATACACGTAGTAACAACTTCAAAAACAGACTAACTAGGATAATAAGAGCTCAAATTGCAGTTTGCAGGTAGAAATCTCCCTCTTTTTCTATACCGTTGATTACACCCCACCCCCCATCCCACCCAAAAAAAAGGAAAAGAAAATCACATGTAAATCAAATGTATACATAAAATAAAAAGTGAGAAAAATAATTAGTTCCTCAATCCTCAATCCTCACCCTTATCTTTTACTTAGGACTGAAACACGCACCCTTAAAACTCATCCTGATAACTAATAACAATGCACTAGTGGGGGAAAGGAAAGAAATTTCATGCAATATATACATACAAAATAGAAGCCAAACTTACTAGGCTAAAAAGTTGCTGTAAAAGGAGCTGAGCTCTCTTCAACACAGCAGCTTCAGATGGCGATGACTGATGACTGATAAAGAAGACGGTACCCATCAGGGATGAGATGAAGAGGATCCGAGGTTCCTCTCAGCGCAAATAGGGATTTTTCTCAACCTCTGATAATAAAACTTTAGGCTGAATTCTTGCAGCTGACATGATCCATCCGATCCAATCTTCTCACATGCATGCTTTAATACTAAACTTTAATTTATTATAGATTTTTTCCTTTTCAATCCCACTCCATTATGACTGTAGAATCCACTACCGTCAGTAGTATCATCCGAAACTAAGTACCTATAAACCAAAAAAAAAGGACCCAACAAAGAGGGAGACTATTTGAAAAACTGCTGATAAGAGTAGTCTAGTTTACTAGATCAGAGAAGTGACCGAGGATCCAATGTTTGATGGATCATGCCAAGCACCGACGCTTGTTGTGTTCCAATAAACCGCAGGATCAGATAAACCGATTTGATCGAGCTGATTCTGGCATGCCACATTCCATTCCATTCTGCTTTGCGCTTCTTCAACTTTGATATCTTTCATGGTTAGCCAATTTTCATCGTTACCTGTCATTTGAAGGTCTTGAAAAGGTTCTAAGGAGTGCATTTGGGTAGGCAGTTGAGTGCTTTTAACACCACCGTTCGTGAACTTGTGTTGGTAAAGAGTAGAAGCTAACAAAGAAGCAATGGTTGGCGTGGTAGTGGTGCTAGAAGATGAGGATTCAAATATATTAGAGTAGCTTGAAAGGAGTGGATTTGAAGTCTCCACATCCTGGATTTGCTTACTCGGGTTAGTGTTAAAACCATATCGATAATCATTGTCCCCATTATCACCAGACACCATCCCAGAAGAAAATCCTAATCCAAGAGCATTCGGATCAGGCTGGATATCATAGCCTGTCACGTTTTCCACATCTGGAACTCTTGAATTGAACCGAAGAAAGGGAAGATGGATATCAGATGGGGTATTAGCTAACCCGTAAAACAAAGGGTTGATATGATGAGTTGAGGCCGAAGAGACATCGATTTGAGGTTGAGATATTGGACTGTTAGTATTTGTTGGAGAAGCTCCATCAATGGCTGAAGCCGCTTGTCTCTTCATACGCTTGTTCTTCCTACATCCACCGCCCACCGGAACATTCCTTAAGGTGCCACCCCGAGTCCAATAACGCTTACAGGCCTTGCAGAAGTGTCTTGGCTGTGATAAACTGTAGTTGTTGTAGTAGCAGAACTTAGTGTTTGATGAATCACAGCGTGGACACTTTAGGGCTTGCTGCTGCTGCTGTTCTTGGCTTGGTTTCTCCATAAGCCTAGCTGTTGACGCCATCAACTCTTTCTCATCTATATGATTCTGCAACCAAAGTGATGCATGGCCAAAAAAGGGGAAAGAACTGAGCAAAAACAAGACAAAAAGAGTTAACTGAGTGCCCTTAGGGTAAAATAACAACACAACATAGATATTCTGTTCCAAAAGCAAAACAACAAAAGTGGGGTCATGTTTTGTCGAATAATTGCTTGAGAGAGAGAGAGAGAGAGAGAGAGAGAGAGAGAGAGAGTACTGAAAATGAAACCTGTGGCCATTCATTGTTAGCAGTTGAGGAGGAGAAAATCATCTTCTCGCATTACTCAACATTTTCTTCTATCAAAGGAATCGTTGAAAACAAAGAGTAAACAGACAAAGACAGGTGGGGACGCCGAGTCTTTGTTGATGGGATTCAAGTATTTTCTACGACTGACAGAGTGTATCACTTATGTTACGAGCACTACAATTATTCTTTTAATCTACTAATTTCATTTGTTAATCAATTTTTTCACATGCTAGATCTGGTGTTAACTGACCAATTAAATATTATTTGAGATTAAAGAAAAGGGGACAAAGAATATATGTTTGGAAGGCAAATATTCAAATTCAAGAAGACGACACAGAGGTAAAGCGGGAGAAGAGATGAATCTTGACAAGTTCAAGAATAAAGGAACAACATTATAACATGAGAGTTCTAGATCAGTTGATCTCTTTATTTTGTCGATATTCGTATTATCTTCAATATTATATATTTCTAATTACTACAGCCTAAGACATAATGATATTATAGTGGATCCAATGATCAACAACAAATCTAAAACTATATTCAGATTCGATGGCCCCAAATAAAAGCACCCTCTATCTCTCTGATGGGACATCATTACTCGCACAATGTAGAAAACTGATACCAATTGTTTTCATTCGGAATTTTGCCAGAGTTACCGTCGATGACACCGGAAGACAGTCACTAGTTAAACTTTTCATAAAGATTGGTTTCCGGTTTGATTTGGATTTCCGATGAAAACCGAGGCACTTCACGTAAATTTTACAATCATTACACCATAATTTGTGTATCAAACATTGGAGACTGTCTTTATATGTTTTTTCTTTTGTTGTCTAAATTATTATACGACTCTTAAAGATGCCAAAGAGCTGAGGGTATTAATACCTAGGCTACATACGGTGAAAAAGCTGGGAAAATATATACAAGTAAAGAATCTGGAAATTCCAATAGAAAGGGACAAGAAGTTTCCATGTGGAAATCTACCCAAAGTGAATAAAAGCGTTTTTACTCAAAAATCACCTAAACTATATAATATTATCAGATAGACACCGTTTCTCCAAATATTAACAATCTAACATCCTTTCTGACAGAGTGATAATTAGCGCGTTTGAGGGGACGTGCCTTGCAGACGTGGACGAAAGGTGCGTTACAGGAGGCGTGCCTTCCTAAGGTTCTGTCCGAGCTGGCACCATGGTGAAAAGGCGTGGATCATGAAGCACGCCTTCGCAGGGAATTTTTATAGGTGGGGGAATGTGCGGATCAGGAGGTGTGCCTTCCATTATTCCTCTTCAATTATTGGCCTTTCCATTATTACACCAGCTACGAGCCTTAAATCACAACCAATCACCCATCCTCCCCCTATAAATACCCATGAATCAAAATATCAAACCACACCAAAATTACTTTTATGTTCTTCTTCTATCAATTCTTTCTATAAAGCTAAGTAGATTTTGGTATAGTTTTTAGAAGGTAAAACTATTTTTATTATATTATGTTTATTTCATATTTAATTATTTAACCAAAATATATTGTACTAATGATTTTATTACTTTTTGCAGTTGTAAAATAGAAGATGAGATCATATCTCGAGACATTTTGTCGATACGATAACAATATTAAATTGTGTTATTTAAATTATTGAGAATATTTTTTTAAATTTTTTAAAGTATTAGTTTATATTTTAATTCGTATATTATTTATTTAATTAGGAGAATTATCATATATTAGAAACAATTATTCATTTTTGCAAATATAAGACTCTCAATCTTTCAAACTCTCAAAATGAGGCTTATTTCAGCTATTGTTTACTATGATGGAGAAATTCTGGAAGATGAAATCGGTGTTGTCTTCGCATCAAATCATTCTGTCACCTTATCCTTCAAGAGAAACATCACTCTTGAGGAGCTAATCACTAAAATTTCAAAAAAACAATAATGTTGAAAGTAATAGAAAAATGCCCTCACTTCGGTATGGATTTCTAACTGAATTATTTATGATAATTTATACAACATTTGAACTCTCCAATGATGAAGATGTTTCTATGATGGTTGATGCTCAAAATCAAAATTCAGATGCTACTACACAAATGTATGCCACATCTGTTGAAGTGTTTGCAGTTCATGGTATATTATTATGCTCCCACTATGGGTTGGCTCAATAAGTTGATCAAGTTGACAACCTAACTCAAGTAACGTGTAATGATTTTACCTCATTAATGGGAAATCCACATGCTGATATCATCCCATCAAGTTCAATGGGGAGACATTCATCAACAACTTGTTCCAATCTCTACCGAGGTGGCTCCATGAACAATTTGTATAGCAACATCACTTCCAGTTCAAGGGGAAGACATTCATCTTCCAATTTTTTTGACTTGAATATGAAGATGTCCTTGACATAACAATCTGTTCAATACCCATTTGACATGGTGCCTTCAAGTTTCAGGGGAGACATTCAGCTGTGAGCTTCTTCGACCTCAACGTAGAGATGTCTGCGACACAACACTCAGTTTAAAACTCACATGACACAATGCCTTCAAGTTCAAGGGGAAGACATTCAACTACCATCTTGTTCGACCTAAATATCAACATCAGGGAGGAACTCTCATCTCACCAGAAAAACCTCTTTGTGAACCAGGTGCTGAGACTAGACTATTTGTTGAGCCAAATCAATACAACTCAATACGGATTTCAATGATAATGATGTAGATGAGGTTCCCACAAATACGATACACACCGAACCTCCAACATACATGTATGAAGCTGACTATGATGCAATGTACATGTCAAAATTTATGGATATGTCTAATGTTGGTGACTATGGATTTAACTCATCAGTCAATGATGGCGAGTTATATATCGAAATGAAGTTTTCATCCAAATATGAAACTATGATTGCAATTAAAATTATAACATTCGTAATTCTGTTCACTACAGAGTCGGCCGATCCACCACCAAAAAGAATGTCTGCCTCTGTGTCCAACGTGATAATAGTTGCATCTAGATGGTTCGTGTATCAAAGAGTAAGAGGAAAAATAACATATGAGAATTAATAGTATACAATGGTCCTTATACATGTTGTGCTAGATTGATCAACCAATACCATCCCAACTTGGTCTTCGACATTATCTGTCAAACTATCATTCCTATGGTCAAAGCAAGCTCCCATATAGCTATTGTGGTGCTGATTTCAGCTATACAGTCTCTATATGCGTACATCGTCTCCTATAGAAAGGCATGAAAAGAAAAATAGAATGTCATTAAAAAACTTCACGGTGAGTGAGATTCATCTTACAACGAACTACCAAGTTGGTTTAACGTAGTGCGCAGACTGAATCCTAGAACAATAGTCGGCTTTGAAACTTGCCATGCATACACAATGATTGAGTGCTTCGCGATCGATATCAGTTCTAACGAGGGATATTGATAAAGAAATGTGAATAAATGTGAAAAAATGCATATGATGGTGGATATTGATATGGACATATGACAACCAACTTGGTTAAAACTATCAATTCAACCTTAAAAGGGGGCGTCATTTACTAGTAACAACTTTGGTTGAAGCGACATATTTTCATTTAGGAGCACTTTTTGCCAAGCTCGGGGGACAAAATCTAATGTGGATGCAAAACAGCCACGATTATCACCCAATATTAGTTGCAGATCTACAAAAAAAGAATTGTTGCATCAAATGAAATATCTGTAACAATATTCTCTCAAACTCATGAATTATTTCGTGTCATAGAAATGCCACGAGCTCTTTAAGGGATTGAAGCTAACTCGTTCAGAGTTAATTTTTAATACCCCCAAAATTTTGGTTAGTGACCAAAATATAAAATTTGAAGGTTTAGTGACCAAAGTATAAAGTATGCAAAAGTTCAAGGACCAAAAGGGTAATTTTCAAAAGTTTAAGGACCAAAACTATAATTTTCAAAAGTCATGTATTTAACCCCATAAATGAATTATTCAACCCTAAGAATGACGTTTTGGTGAGAATCAGACTTTAGATCTAGAATTTGTGTTAAAAGCTAAAAAATGTTAAAGTCCGGTAAAAATTCAGTAAACCGGATCAAATAGAATTTTGAGAAAATTTCAAGGATATTAAATTAAGATTATAAATATTATTTCCACATTTTAAATTATGAAAAATAATATGGACCATTGAATATTTCCATGTTCAATTTGGATCGTTGGAAGAAAATTACAATATTGAAATTCTTGAAAAGTTGTATGGATAAAGTTGCATTGGATATTTTGTTCATCTTTGACTTTGGAAGATGATAACCAACATGTGGCTTGGTATGGATGTAATTATCAAGTTTCATTAATGACAAAATTGCCATTTCCTAATTGAATGAATTTTAAATTCATTTAAGCTTAATAAATGACAAATTAACGTGAAATTAACTAGAAATTTCATGAAAATAAGGCCTTCTTCAACCTCCATTTTGTTCTCCTCATAACATAGGTAAGAGAAATTTTATTTTTCATTTTTGAGCAATTTTCTTTGGATTTTGGATCGAACTGTGAAATAGAAAATTATTCTATTCGAAGAGCTCTATCATTTGGTACCATTATTGCATGTTAATCTTGCTCGAATGTTGTGTTCCCAAATTTTAGAGTTTATGTTCATGTTAGGGTTTTATGAAGTGATGATGGATTTTAAGGTTGTTGAGGTTGTAGAATTATTTCCAAGCTTGTTTGATAATCAAAACAACCTAGAAATGCTATATTGATTTTGGCTTAAACCCTAAATTAGGTAAAGTTTATGATTTGATGAAATTTGGTTATGGGTTTGATTGTAGGGGTTTTAAAATGTTGAATAGAGGTTGATTTAATGCTCGAATCAAATTGAAATCAAGTGAAATCATGAAACCCTACCCCTTAACATTCGAACTAAGCCTTTAGAAGTGAGACAAATTATGGAAAAAATAATACAAGGGTTAGAAATGATGTAAGAAGGATCCTACAAGCTTTATAAAGTTATTTGAACCAATTTATAATTTTGAAAAAGTAAGGGGACCTATTAAACAATTTTGAAATATTATGGGGTTGATGTGTAATTATTCAATACATGAGGTACTATGCTAGAAATTAATGTTAGAGTGATGAATTTGGTGTTAGAATGTGAAATTTGACTATTTTTGGGATATTATCAAAGTTTGAGT